AATCACGTGGGAACTGACTCATAGCAAGTTTTTAGAGGATGTAGGCCATATGGGCAGACAGAGAATACCCACTTCTCTTCCTTGGAGCAGCTGGTGGATTCGAACCATGAAATTTTGTGCTGGCAGCACAGATCCTTACCACAAGGTCCCCAGAACTTCTCATGACTAGGTTAACTCTGGTTTTCAGATTAAGAACTCATGCTGCTCCACCCAGGTCACAAAAAAAGCAAACGCCTTGTTGTTGTGAGTTGCTTGTGACTCATAGTGACGCTATGTACTAAAGCCCTAAACCCTGCTCTATCCTGTGCCAATCGCACTGCCTCCTACACACCCATCCCAATTATCCCAGTCACTGAATCAATCCACTTTATAGAGGGCCTTCCTCTCCTGCGCCGTCCCTCCACCCTCCCAAGCATGATGTCCCTCTCCAAGGATCTGTCCCTCCTCACAACATGTCCAAAGTATGTTAGACGAAGCCCCAGAATCCTTGCGTCCAAGGAGCAGCCTGGTTTAACCCTCGCCAGGATCAATCTGTTTGTTTTCTTGGCAGTTTAAGAAAAATAGTTTTTTGAACTGCAAATCATGCAAAATAAGTTACTGTTATCTGGCGCAGTGCATTTCTAACAAGCTAGACTAATTTGGTCCGAGCACATTTTCCTTGGAGCAGGCTAGAATAGGATGGCTTCCCAGGGCCTGCAGGCAAGGTGGCACTGGAGCTGGCAGTCCCCGCGGTCAGCACTAAGCGCCTTTGCATGGAGATTACAGCAGCAGGAAGCCTAATACCTGGAACAGGCGGCCTCACTGCAGTGCCCGCTGTGACAGGAAAGTCATGAAGGACACTGAAGAGGTCTGGGGCCGGTCCATGGGAGGCAAGCAGCCCTGCCTGCGAACCCCAATCTGGGAACCCCCTCATGGCAAGTCTCTAAGGGAAGAACAGGAGTATCAGGCAAGCTTGTCACAGAGCAGCCCTCTCTCCATCCTGACCGTTGCCCTTAGGGGACAAGAGGGTTGCTTACTGATGCCTCCAGGCCAGGTTGGATCACCCAGTGAACAAGATACATGGGCTTCCTTCTGAGCCTGCATGGGCCACTGTGCCTGGGTTCACATCAGGAAAACATGTTCCCTACAAGCTAGCAAGTGAACAGTCCTACTGCAATTACTGGCCAGCCTGCCCACCACCTCAGAAGCTGTAAAGTCAACAAAGCAGGTGGCTCTCAAGTTTGGCCTCTCATGGGCTCAACATATCCGTGGTTGCACTCAGCATTGCTGCTTAAGCGGCAGAGGAAGGGATAGCAGCAGCACGAGCAGGTGGTACTTGCTGAGTTTGTGAGGCTGTCAGAAGCGAGTGGCAAAGGGCTGGGCAGGAAGACTAGGCAGGTCTCAAGAAGCATCCATTTCCACCCTGCCTCATCTCCTGGTGCTGTTCTAGGCCTAGGGGCTGTGCATGTCTGTAGTTCAGAGAAGCGAGGCCTCCACCTGCAAACCCAATGGCCTCAGGATGCCAGGGCCATGTGGCTCTCATGCACATGATTCCTGGAGCAGCAGCCTCAATATGAAGCGAGGTCTGGACTACTACTAGTGGCTGCCTGTGTTCTCTGGCATCTTATCCAGGAAGGGTTTGCACATATGATCTCAGCCCAGACTCAGGCTGCCCTTCCTAACCCTGTGCCAGGCCAGTGCAGAGCAAGTCATGTTGGGCTGTGCCCTCACAGTGCCTGCAGGCTTCCGTCCTTCTGGGTCAGCTGGGCAGGCTTTCCATCTCCCTTGTAAATTTTAAAATGATACCTACACACAACCATACACACATCTCCGCCAGGATGTCAAAGGCCTGAGCCACTGAGTGGAGCAATACTGGAGGTCTCATAACCCTTCCCTCTTTTTAACCATATCTATACATACCTGGTTTGTTGGCTTTTGGGACATTCCATTTTCTTAATACTGCCTACATTAAGAATAAATATGGGGTGGGACAAGTAGGTGCAGATAGGTGCAGACAACATGGTGCAAGAGCGGGTAAAGGTGCACATGGGTGAGAAAGGTCAAGTCAGAACCAACTCAGCTGATCCTCCATGGGTTCCTGAGGCTGTAAGTTGCTGGAAGGACATAGTTCATCTTTCTCCCTTGGAGATGCTGATGGATTCAAACCTCAAGGGAGGTGCAGCCTTTGAGTCAGCAATGTAACTCTCTACAGACTATGCTGTGTCTGACTGCAAGCACATATATTCACTCAACATAAGGAGACACTCTTTGGACATAACCAAACACTTTCTAACATTGGTTTTCCTGGCATGAAGGGTTAAGACCATCATTCCTAAGGACAATTCAGTCAGTTGGCCTAACAAAAATCTTTACCTGCATCCCAGCAAATGGAGAAGCAGCCTACAAAGGGGCCCCTGACCATAGAATTCTGTCACTTAATGTAATCAGCGAGTACTGGTGGCTTAGTGGCAAGAAGCTGTGCTGCAATCCCTAAGGCAGGCAGTTCAAATCTACCAGCTGCGCCCTGGGAGAAGGATGGGAAATCTCCTCCCATGCAATTAATTGCCTCAGAAAACCCACCACAGGGTCAGTTACGGGTTAGTTCCAACTTGACGGTACACAACAACGTGATCAGTATAGCTATGGTACCTGTATGAGACAGCACTAGCGTGAATGATGGGGTGGAGGTGGGGGAGGGGGATATGTGGGGATGTACATGAACTGTGGTCAGGAGAGCTAAGAGAGCCCTCCTGGGGTCATGACCTTACAGCTGGACTTGCGAGTGGAGGGAGTTCTTCTTGACATTTGAGTGCACCTGCCCTGGCATTGTACTAGGAGAGCCTGCACTTCCAACAGCCCAACTGTGCTTCTGCAGGTGGGTCCCCAAGAGGATGGAGACCCAGGAGAATCCAGCCTTGGGGAAGGGAGGCCTGAGCTGCTGTCATAGCAGATACACCTACCATACCCCTCATGTGCTCCCTCTATGATTGTCCTGTGCCCTCCTGCGTGGAGACAGAGGCTGGACCCTAGAGTCCATTCTTGGGACAGAGAGCCTTGAGTCGAGTTATCCTTGCAAGCACACGAACCCCCAAGTGCTCACTCTACGACTTGGGTGGATGTACTATGAATGCTGGGTTGGTCGGTCAGAAGACCTGGTGGCAACAGGCACCATCAGTGAGTCTGGAGCCTCCATAACACAGGGCTTCCATAAGCAGCAACTCAGATACCAGGAGAGGGGTAGACCTCTGCAGGAGAAGGGGTGGAGGCTGATGAGTCTACATGTCACCAAGATGCTGGGCAGGCACACAGCCTTGAGAAAGCAATCACTCACACTGTCCCAAATCCCCACCAGGATAAGTTAAGAGATGTGCATTATGTTCTTCTGTACTGAAAAATAAGAGTGTCCTTTTTCCCAAGGAAAACTAAGCACTTCCCCAAAGTACATGGCAATTAGGCTGAGTCACAGCAATTGTTCTGAGTAGAATGTCATTATCCCTGGGCCTGTAATTACCCTCTGAATACTTCTACTGGTAGTTTCATTCTCTTGCACAAAACCTCATTTCCTTGGCATCAAAGAAGTGATTTGAGTGTTGGGTTATACAGCAGCTTTGCACAATCCACCACACTAAGCCCCAGTGAAATGGAGACTCTGACTGAAACAGTGGGTCTCATGGGGCCCAGAAAGGTGACATATGTCAAGGACCACAGAAGGTCTTTGGCCTCAGCTGGAAAACCACTATTCTGGAGAACTCTGTCAACAAGCCAAGGCTATGTATCAGAGGGGAGTTAATTCAGAAGTAAACAGAAGAAAAGCTATTTAAAATTTGTTTCATCTCACTCCCAATCAGCAGGTTCTGTAAATATTTCCTCAAATCATTTAAAAAGCTTTACAAGTCAATAGTGCTTAGTTGTTCACTCCCCAAATGTAATATGATTCTGTGCTAAAATAGGAATAATGAGACATAATGTTTTGGAAAAGTACAATACAAAAATATTATTCATGGGTTTATTTTTTTCAAATAAGCAATAGGCTATTTACAAATAAGGAGATTTCTAATGACGTATATTAAAATGGCAAGTCTATCAGTTCGAAATCTAAATGAAAAACAAAATTTATTAAGGCACATTTGATCTGTGAGTTTAAAACAAACTTTCTAGGGTAATGACAGACTGATTTTACTCTTGTAACCCAAAATCTGTGAGCACCAGAATTGTCAAAGAACACTTAATATTTAGTAAAACAATAAGGAATGTGAACATAAGGAGTGAGGGAGAGGCATTATTTTCTAAAGGAGATCTTTGGAGATCAGTTTACTACAAACCAAACCCAAGAAGCGGTGAACAAATCTCCTGATACACATAAATACTAATAACTAACAGGTGCCTGAGACAGGGCAGAGGGCTACACAGTGGACAGTAAATAAATTAATGGTACTCAGGAAGAAAGGATAAACCATAGTAATTAAAGGATGAAATAACCATGCCCACAAACATCACCCAGATCGGATGGAGGGTAACATGGCAACACCACACATCTCTCCCCAGTGTTTACACCAGGGTGTTCTTCTGTTGGTTTTTTAAGCTTACATACATTAGATTTATTACAATAACTCTTTGCCACTCTAAGTACTAATATTTTACCCCTTAAAAAGAAGTCAGGAAGAGAGGAAAATGCCACATTCTTATTGAAATAGAACACCAGGTCCATTGAAGCCAAATAAATGATGGCTTTCCTTGCTCCCTTGCTTTCAAAACAGTATGACTGCCAAGAGCAGAAGTGTGGGGAAATGACTGACTCGCAAAGCCCTCCTACAACATGGCAACACAGCTAATGTCCTATTTCCATGGTTTATAATTGAACATGAAATGGCTTTTTTAAAAATAAAAATCATTGTAAAAAGACAAAAGGTAGAACCTGTGTAATGTTAGCAGTCACAACAGAATGTTGACCAGAGTTACAGATCTGTTACAGTAATACTTTTCAGGAATGTTCACGTTTTCTGTCATGAGACTTTAGCAAAGGGTCTGAGAAGGAAATATCATAAAAAGGTTGTTCATCATTTCAATTATGACATTTCAAGTCATAATTAAGCAGGCCTGCTATATAATGTTCAGCAAGAGATGTATTCAAAGGCAAACAATTAGATTTTTGTTCAAAAAAGCTCAAAGTTAAAGGAGTCCTTTTAAGAAAATCATTTGCAAAATATATCCTTGTGTGGACTTCAAAAACAGGTCATACAAAAAAATTTCTGAAAAATAAATTAGATAATTAAAAATGTCTTGTTCCAGCAGAGCTGGATACTAGGCGGTCCTCACAGAGCCATTATTATTGCTGTTTTTACTGTAACTCGGAATGTTTTTCTCTAGCCACATTTCAGCCAGCTGTTGTGTGGACCCATAGGTAGAGGCTTTGGATCCCAAGCACATTTTGTACTGCTTGGGATCAAGATTAGGATCACAAAAGACAGGGTGGTAGACATGAACCACTCCCACTTCTTGGCTCCGGAATGTCTTCAATCCTGCCTGGACCACTTTGTTAAAAAGGTCCACGTCCTCAAGCCCCCAACCCTGGATGGAAACATCAAAGCCGCCCACTTGGACAAGGTCACCTTTATAAATACAGGTAATGCCAAACCCATAGTTTCTCCAGAAGCCAGTTTTCTGAGTAAAGGCAAAATGGTTGTCACTTGGAATTTTCCCACTATAAACAATCTTTGGATCATACTGGCTAAAGATGATTGGGAAGTATATTTGTTGGCCCAACACTGTATTTGCTCGACATCGCTGAAGGAATTCTGTCGTAAACACGAGGTCAACATCACAGAAGAAGAGCAAAGACTCATTGTTAAACTGAGAGGAGCCTACCTCCAGGGCCAGGGCTCTGGAAAATTCTCCAGACACAGGCAGAATCTGCATGTCAGCCTTCGGATACTTAACTCGATAATCTCTCATCAGCTCAACCTGCTTAGCCTTGTCAGGGTTGGAGTCAGAATTGAAAAGCAGGACCACAAGCTTGACATTCTGATTTGGGATGAGACATGTCTTCTCAAAGTTCCCCATGAACCTCACAAACATATCAAAGCGTCCAGACAAAGGAATGAGAATGTTTATCTTCTTATCTCGGGGTTCTTTGGGTTCAGTTTTTGAGCCAGGCAGCTGAAATGGAACAAGCTTCTTTAGGGAATTGGAGAGAAAGGATAAAGACCCGGATTCCTGGTTAATTCTGTTGGTCAGCTCTGTTGCGTCCAGCTGCTCGTGCTCTACACACTGGATCTTGCTGAATGTCTGCTGTAAGTAAGCATGCCGCCTCACAGAGACGGTCATCTTTTTCCCTTTGTGCTTCTTATACAGAAGCAGCAAGTCCAGCCCCGTACATGGGGTTCACTCGGCGGTAGCCATACTGTATCTCCTTGAAGTCTATAACACGGCCCCTGGTCTTGGCATTGGCATTGATCATCTCCATGACCTGCATGACAATGTTGTCCAAAGCTTCTCTCTGTGCAGAGTCCATTCCTCTTAGAGGTGGCTGGTTCTCTGTAGCTGAGTACAAGTATTGCCCAGTAAGAAACTCCCATTCCAAAATCTTTTCCCGCTGGCGGGGCTGGAACCTCAAGAATGAGGGCTGGATCCCCAGCTGAAGGTCCTCCTTGTGAGCCTCAGTGTCGCTGTACTTGCTCAACAGCACTATCTCTCGGTGGAGCTGAATTGTGCGGTGCCGAAGCTCAGCTATCTTGCGACTGAGCATATAGCTGTGAAGTCTGTACTGGTAGGGTGGGTTTTTGTTGGGGTGTAACGTGATGGCTCGATGAATTTTACTGCTGTGGAGGTCTCTGATGTAACCCTTTTTGTTCTGTTCATAATTCTCATAAAAAAGCTGCTGCATCTGTTAAGAAAACAAAAAAGATTGCTATTTTTAGTATTTTATGACTAAAAATTGTATTTCCTCAGATGCCTGAAAACACTGAAGTCTAAGTCTAAACATTAGAAATTTGAGCAAACTAGTGCAACCACTATGCAAGGCTCTATGGTGCTTTCTCAAAAAGTTGGAAATAGAAATGCCATTTGACCCGGCATTTTCAGTACTGGGAATATACCCCAAAGAAACCATAACTGCCACTCAAGCAGATATATGTACACCCATGTTTATCACAGCTTTGTTCAGAATAGCAACGAGGTGGAAACAACCTAAGTGCCCATCAACAAACAAATGGA